ATGTAGACGCCACTGGTTCTTCACGTTCTGCAGATGTAGACACCACTGGTTCTTCACGTTCTGCAGATGTAGACACCACTGATTCTTCACGTTCTGCAGATGTACATGCCACTGGTTCTTCACGTTCTGCAGATGTAAACGCCACTGGTTCTTCATGTTCTGCAGATGTAGATGCCACTGATTCTTCACGTTCTGCAGATGTAGATGCCACTGGTTCTTCACGTTCTGCAGATGTAGACGCCACTGGTTCTTCACGTTCTGCAGATGTAGATGCCACTGGTTCTTCACGTTCTGCAGATGTAGATGCCACTGGTTCTTCACGTTCTGCAGATGTAGATGCCACTGGTTCTTAATGTTCTGTAGATGTAGATGCCACTAGTTCTTTCTGTTCTGAGATGTAGATGCCACTGGTTCTGCATGTTCTGCAGATGTAGATGCCACTGCTTCTTCACAATCTGCAGATGTAGATGCCACTGGTTCTGCATGTTCTGCAGATGTAGACGCTACTAGTTCTTCACGTTCTGCAGATGTAGACACCACTGGATCTTCATGTTCTGCAGATGTAGACGCCACTGGTTCTTCACGTTCTGCAGATGTAGACACCACTGGTTCTTCATGTTCTGCAGATGTAGATGCCACTGATTCTTCACGTTCTGCAGATGTAGATGCCACTGGTTCTTCACGTTCTGCAGATGTAGATGCCACTGGTTCTTCACGTTTTGCAGATGTAGACTCCACTGGTTCTGCATGTTCTGCAGATGTAGACGACACTGGTTCTTCACGTTCTGCAGATGTAGATGCCACTGGTTCTTCACGTTCTGCAGATGTAGATGCCACTGGTTCTTCACGTTCTGCAGATGTAGACACCACTGGTTCTGCATGTTCTGCAGGTGTAGATGTCACTGGTTCTTCACGTTCTGCAGATGTAGATGCCACTGGTTCTTCACGTTCTGCAGATGTAGATGCCACTGGTTCTTCACGTTCTGCAGATGTAGACACCACTGGTTCTTCATGTTCTGCAAATGTAGATGCCACTGGTTCTTCACGTTCTGCAGATGTAGATGCCACTTGTTCTTAATGTTCTGTAGATGTAGATGCCACTAGTTCTTTACATTCTGAGATGTAGATGCCACTGGTTCTGCATGTTCTGCAGATGTAGATGCCACTGCTTCTTCACAATCTGCAGATGTAGATGCCACTGGTTCTTCACATTCTGCAGATGTAGATGCCACTGGTTCTTCACGTTCTGCAGATGTAGACACCACTGGTTCTTCATGTTCTGCAAATGTAGATGTCACTGGTTCTTCACGTTCTGCAGATGTAGATGCCACTGGTTCTTCACGTTCTGCAAATGTAGACGCCACTGGTTCTTCACGTTCTGCAGATGTAGATGCCACTGGTTCTTCACGTTCTGCAGATGTAGATGCCACTTGTTCTTAATGTTCTGTAGATGTAGATGCCACTAGTTCTTTACATTCTGAGATGTAGATGCCACTGGTTCTGCATGTTCTGCAGATGTAGATGCCACTGCTTCTTCACAATCTGCAGATGTAGATGCCACTGGTTCTTCACGTTCTGCAGATGTAGATGCCACTGGTTCTTCACGTTCTGCAGATGTAGACACCACTGGTTCTTCATGTTCTGCAAATGTAGATGTCACTGGTTCTTCACGTTCTGCAGATGTAGATGCCACTGGTTCTTCACGTTCTGCAAATGTAGACGCCACTGGTTCTTCACGTTCTGCAGATGTAGATGCCACTGGTTCTTCACGTTCTGCAGATGTAGATGCCACTGGTTCTTCACGTTCTGCAGATGTAGATGCCACTTGTTCTTAATGTTCTGGAGATGCCACTAGTTCTTTACATTCTGAGATGTAGATGCCACTGGTTCTGCATGTTCTGCAGATGTAGATGCCACTGCTTCTTCACAATCTGCAGATGTAGATGCCACTGGTTCTGCATGTTCTGCAGATGTAGACGCTACTAGTTCTTCACGTTCTGCAGATGTAGACACCACTGGATCTTCATGTTCTGCAGATGTAGACGCCACTGGTTCTTCACGTTCTGCAGATGTAGACACCACTGGTTCTTCACGTTCTGCAGATGTAGACACCACTGGTTCTTCACGTTCTGCAGATGTAGATGCCACTGGTTCTTCACGTTCTGCAGATGTAAACGCCACTGGTTCTTCATGTTCTACAGATGTAGATGCCACTGATTCTTCACGTTCTGCAGATGTAGATGCCACTGGTTCTTCACGTTCTGCAGATGTAGATGCCACTGGTTCTTCACGTTCTGCAGATGTAGACTCCACTGGTTCTGCATGTTCTGCAGATGTAGACGCCACTGGTTCTTCACGTTCTGCAGATGTAGACACCACTGGTTCTGCATGTTCTGCAGATGGAGATGCCACTGGTTCTTCACATTCTGCAGATGTAGACACCACTGGTTCTTCATGTTCTGCAGATGTAGACGCCACTGGTTCTTCACGTTCAGCAGATGTAGACACCACTGGTTCTTCATGTTCTGCAGATGTAGATGCCACTTGTTCTTCGTGTTCTGCAGATGTAGATGCCACTGGTTCGGCTAGCTATGCAGATGTAGACGCCACTGGTTCTTCACGTTCTGCAGATGTCGACACCACTGGTTCTGCATGTTCTGCAGATGTAGACGCCACTGGTTCTTCACGTTCTGCAGATGTAGACACCACTATTTCTGCATGTTCTGCAGATGTAGACGCCACTGGTTCTTCACGTTCTGCAGATGTAGATGCCACTGGTTGTTCACGTTCTGCAGATGTAGACACCACTGGTTCTGCATGTTCTGCAGATGTTGATGCCACTGGTTCTGCATGTTATGCAGCTGTAGACGCCACTGGTTCTTCACGTTCTGCAGATGTAGACACCACTATTTCTGCATGTTCTGCAGATGTAGATGCCACTGGTTCTTCACGTTCTGCAGATGTAGATGCCACTTGTTCTTAATGTTCTGTAGATGCCACTAGTTCTTTACATTCTGAGATGTAGATGCCACTGGTTCTGCATGTTCTGCAGATGTAGATGCCACTGCTTCTTCACAATCTGCAGATGTAGATGCCACTGGTTCTGCATGTTCTGCAGATGTAGACGCTACTAGTTCTTCACGTTCTGCAGATGTAGACACCACTGGATCTTCATGTTCTGCAGATGTAGACGCCACTGGTTCTTCACGTTCTGCAGATGTAGACACCACTGGTTCTTCACGTTCTGCAGATGTAGACACCACTGGTTCTTCACGTTCTGCAGATGTAGATGCCACTGGTTCTTCACGTTCTGCAGATGTAAACGCCACTGGTTCTTCATGTTCTACAGATGTAGATGCCACTGATTCTTCACGTTCTGCAGATGTAGATGCCACTGGTTCTTCACGTTCTGCAGATGTAGATGCCACTGGTTCTTCACGTTCTGCAGATGTAGACTCCACTGGTTCTGCATGTTCTGCAGATGTAGACGCCACTGGTTCTTCACGTTCTGCAGATGTAGACACCACTGGTTCTGCATGTTCTGCAGATGGAGATGCCACTGGTTCTTCACATTCTGCAGATGTAGACACCACTGGTTCTTCATGTTCTGCAGATGTAGACGCCACTGGTTCTTCACGTTCAGCAGATGTAGACACCACTGGTTCTTCATGTTCTGCAGATGTAGATGCCACTTGTTCTTCGTGTTCTGCAGATGTAGATGCCACTGGTTCGGCTAGCTATGCAGATGTAGACGCCACTGGTTCTTCACGTTCTGCAGATGTCGACACCACTGGTTCTGCATGTTCTGCAGATGTAGACGCCACTGGTTCTTCACGTTCTGCAGATGTAGACACCACTATTTCTGCATGTTCTGCAGATGTAGATGCCACTGGTTCTTCACGTTCTGCAGATGTAGATGCCACTGGTTGTTCACGTTCTGCAGATGTAGACACCACTGGTTCTGCAGTTCTGCAGATGTAGATGCCACTGGTTTTTCACCTTCTGCAGATGTAGATGTCACTGGTTCTTTATGTTATGTAGATCCCACTGGTTTTTCACGTTCTGCAGATGTAGATGTCACTGGTTCTTTATGTTATGTAGATCCCACTGGTTTTTCACGTTCTGCAGATGTAGACACCACTGGTTCTTCATGTTCTGCAGATGTAGATGCCACTTGTTCTTCATGTTCTGCAGATGTAGATGCCACTGGTTCGGCTAGCTATGCAGATGTAGACGCCACTGGTTCTTCACGTTCTGCAGATGTCGACACCACTGGTTCTGCATGTTCTGCAGATGTAGACGCCACTGGTTCTTCACGTTCTGCAGATGTAGACACCACTATTTCTGCATGTTCTGCAGATGTAGACGCCACTGGTTCTTCACGTTCTGCAGATGTAGATGCCACTGGTTGTTCACGTTCTGCAGATGTAGACACCACTGGTTCTGCATGTTCTGCAGATGTAGATGCCACTGGTTCTGCATGTTATGCAGCTGTAGACGTCACTAGTCCTTCACGTTCTGCAGATGTAGATGCCACTGGTTGTTCACGTTCTGCAGATGTAGACACCACTGGTTCTGCATGTTCTGCAGATGTAGATGCCACTGGTTCTGCATGTTATGCAGCTGTAGACGTCACTAGTTCTTCACGTTCTGCAGATGTAGATGCCACTGGTTGTTCACGTTCTGCAGATGTAGACACCACTGGTTCTGCATGTTCTGCAGATGTAGATGCCACTGGTTCTGCATGTTATGCAGCTGTAGACGTCACTAGTTCTTCACGTTCTGCAGATGTAGACGCCACTGGTTCTTCAGTTCTGCAGATGTAGATGCCACTGGTTTTTCACGTTCTGCAGATGTAGATGTCACTGGTTCTTTATGTTATGTAGATCCCACTGGTTTTTCACGTTCTGCAGATGTACATGCATCCACTGCCATCTATTGCAACCGGACGTTCATAAGTCCGAGGAGTCCCCCACGTTGTGCCGCGTCGTTCTCCGCAGGAGTCCATGGGCAAGAGCTCGGACAGCAAGTCGTACGTGATCGCCGCCCGCTGGGACCCAACGCTCGCCACCTTCCACGGCCTCAACGACGAGACCGCCAAGGGTACGTGCACTCGCGCTGCCGCCGGCGCGGCTACGGCGGCGCCCAACGCCGAGCCGACATTTTGACAGGACGTTGTCGGTGCCCGACGTTGTCGGTGCCCGACGTTGAACCGACGTTCGGAATCAAGATATTTATACTGGAGGAATCCGATGAGATGTAAAGCTTTTTTTTATTTTTTTATCTGATTGTTTCCCTTCTCCGTGACTTTACCGAAAAAACCAAGAATATGATGTCCAGTGGTTTAACAGGTGGTCTGATTTTGGTTGACGTTGAGCAAACGTTGGTGCGACGTTGGGCCGACCTTGGTCTGACGGCGGTGCGACGTTGGTGCAACGTTGGGCCGACGTTGGTGCGACGTTATGCCGACGATGGTGCGACGTTCCGATGTTAGTATGATGTTGCTCCAACGTTGGCGGAGGGTTTGTTAAATTATTGTTTGGTGGCTAATGGTTGATTGGTCTCGATGCATGTGATTGCATGATTGGCTGTTCCCTTGTGATCGGTTGATGGTGATGAAACGCCTGCCTCACTGCCATCTGCGAGCCGCAAATCAATACGAAATGTCGATGGATCAGCAGACAATATTCTCAAAGAGCGCATTTCTGGCCAAGGTAAAGAGACTTGAGTGGGGAGCGCAGGCCATTCATCCATCCATCTTGGGCCGCATTGGCACAAGACTCGACCAAAGACAACGTCAAACTTAATTTTAAAAAATGATGGGGAGATAAAAGAAAATAGCCCCCCCCCCCTCCTCCACCCCTCCGATCGGCGCCCTTTGCTCCTCGGCGCGAGCGTGAGAATCCACGCGCACTCGGCATTTGCCGCGCCTGCCACAACGTTTCCACGGCGCGTCGGCCTAAGTGGGATAGACAGTGATGCCATGCCTATTAGCTGCTCCACGCTCCCCGCCGCTGCCCCATGCTGCCCCACGCTGCCCCCCACGTCGTCAGCGGGAGATGAAATGGAGGCCGGCCAGCGGATGTCATCATCATCATCGTCAACATGATCGCGGAATCGGCCACACGGAACGGACGGGCGGAGGGGCGGACGTACGGATGGACGAACAGGACAGACGAACGGATGGACGCAAATGGACTGACGGATGGGGATGGACGGACGGATGGACAGATGGGCAGCAGGACAGACGAACGGATGGACCAATGGGCTGACAGCCAGATGGGTGGACTGACAAATAGATAAGACAGATCGACGGATGAGGATTCCTGCCGCGGTTCGATTCCATCTCCCAACGCATCGGTTGAAATAATGTGGGGGGGGAGGGGGGGGGGTGGGGGTCAGTTTCTTAAATCATCCCCCTACCCCTTCCCCCCGCTTTCATTCACCCGGCAGTGTTGACATGTTCACCCATTAACAGGTGAACCCGCCCGCCTACCAGAGACGCGCGTACCGGCCACCGCGCGAGAGCGCAGGGGGCTCTCTGGGGCCTCCCTCTGGTGGAGTTGGAGGCACCTTCCAACCCGCAGCAGCCGGAGGCGTGAGCATGGCGGTCGCGGGGTTGCGCCTGTAACCCCGAGCGCCGTCCGTCCCCCGGCTAGGGTACACGGCTGGGGGGTCTCCGCGCTTTTGGGGGTGAGGGCGTTTTTGAGCCGTGGGGAGACCCGCGCCTTGGGAGGGGGCCCTCGATTCGACGTCCCGGTGTCTTCGGATGTCAAACGTCCGGTTTAATTCCCAGGGGGTTCCGCGGATGGAGATGTCGCTCCTCCTTCTCGTTCCGCCGCTCCTCCTTCTCGTTCCGCTGCTCCTTCCGCTGCTCCTCCTTCACGTCCCGCTCCTCCTCCTCGTTCCGCTGCTCCTTCACGTGCCGCTGCGTGAGCGCGGCGTCGGCGGCCGACCCGGTCGTCGCCTTCACGTCGCCGCCTCCGCCCCTCGCCCTCCTCTCCCCCGCGCCTCTCCGCAGACAAGATGGCTCACCTGACGGTGGCGGCCGACCTGGTGGTCACCGAGGTGCAGGACCCGGTTCGATTCCTGTTCGAGGCGCCGGCACGCGTTTTCCCGGCCACGGAGCGGTTCTGGTATTTCGGCCGACGAGCCTTCACCGACACCTTCCACCTGCACCTGCGTCAGGCGAGTCTCTCCCGTTGTTGGACTTCGCTCACCCGCTCGGTCGGTCATCCGCTCGCCACGCACGCTCGCTCGGTGACCGTCTTCTTCATTGCAAGGGCCCCGCGGGGACCACCGGCGGCCCTCCCCCCCCCCCCCACCCACCCACCCCGGTGGCCTTTAGTTTGGCCCCTGATGTGCGGGCCCAACTGACAACACACAAAGAGTGAAAAAACCCCCGTCGTCATCGTCGTCATCGTCGTCATCGTCGTCATCATCATCGTCATCATCGCTATCGTCGTCATCGTCGTCATCGTCGTCATCGTCGTCGTCGTCATCGTCATCATCGTCATCATCGTCATCGTCGTCATCATCGTCATCGTCGTCATCGTCGTCATCATCGTCATCGTCGTCATCATCGTCATCGTCGTCATCATCGTCGTCATCATCGTTATCGTCGTCATCGTCGTCATCGTCGTCATCATCGTCGTCATCATCGTTATCATCGTCATCGTCGTCGTCGTCGTCGTCGTCATCGTCGTCATCATCGTCATCGTCGTCATCGTCGTCATCATCGTCATCGTCGTCATCGTCGTCATCATCGTCATCGTCGTCATCGTCGTCATCATCGTCATCGTCGTCATCGTCGTCGTCATCGTCATCATCGTCATCGTCGTCATCGTCGTCGTCATCATCGTTATCATCATCATCGTCGTCATCATCGTCATCGTCGTCATCGTCGTCATCATCGTCATCGTCGTCATCATCGTCGTCGTCGTCATCGTCGTCGTCATCATCATCATCGTCATCGTCGTCATCGTCGTCGTCATCGTCGTGCTGCTGTCAAAACCCCCAATGGCTTCAAATGACGTGGTGGCCCTCGCGCACTCCTCCTGCTGCTGTCGGCGAGAGTGCCAAACCCCCCTGAGAGTTGGTGAAGATCGCAGAGACAGAGGGGCCCACGAGGGCCAGAGGGGGCCCACGAGGGCCAGAGGGGGCCCACGAGGGACAGAGGGGGCCCACGAGGGACAGAGGGGCCCACGAGGGACAGAGGGGGCCACGAGGGACAGAGGGGCCCACGAGGGACAGAGGGGGCCCACGAGGGCCAGAGGGGGCCCACGAGGGCCAGAGGGGGCCCACGAGGGACAGAGGGGGCCCACGCTACACGAGGCCGGAGGGGCCCAGGTGCTGGGCAATGAAGGGGTGGGGGGGGTGGGGGGGGGTGGGTGGGGAGGTGGGGGGGTGGGGAGGTGTGGGGGGGAGGTGGGGGGGGAGGTGTGGGGGGGAGGTGTGGGGGGCGGTGGGGGGGAGGTGTGGGGGGAGGCGGGGGGGGAGGTGGGGGGGGAGGTGTGGGGGGGAGGTGTGGGGGGGAGGTGTGGGGGGGAGGTGTGAGGGGGAGGTGTGGGGGGGAGGTGTGGGGGGAGGCGGGGGGGGAGGTGGGGGGGGGGCCATTTTAATTGCTCTCTCCAGGGCTCACCCCACAGCGGTGGAGGAGGCTGCTCCTCCACCGCTGCTCCTCCACCGCTGGAGTGGTGGAGGGGGGAGCGGAGTGGAGCAGAGAGTGGAGCAGGGGGGGGGGGGCAGAGTGGAGCAGGGGGGGGGGAGTACGGGATCGGGGAGGGGGCTTTGAATTGAGATGGGGGGTGTGGGAGACGGAGAGGGTGTGAGAGAGAGCAAGAGAGAGAGTGGATGGGAGAATTTGTTTCTCACGTTGATGGCGTTTTCTGGCATTAGGCGTCTGTGTGCACGTGTGTGTCACTGTGTGTGTGTCAATGTGTGTGTGCGTGTGTGTCACTGTGTGTGTGTGTGCGTGTGTGTCACTGTGTGTGTGCGCGTGTGTGTCACTGTGTGTGTGTGTGTCACTGTGTGTGCACGTGTGTGTCACTGTGTGTGTGTGTCACTGTGTGTGCACGTGTGTGTCACTGTGTGTGCATCACTGTATATGTGTGTCACTGTGTGCACGTGTGTGTCACTGTGTGTGTGTTAATGTGTGTGTGCGTGTGTGTGCGTGTGTGTCACTGTGTGTGTGTGTCAATGTGTGTGTGCGTGTGTGTGCGTGTGTGTCACTGTGTGTGTGTGTCACTGTGTGTGCCCGTGTGTGTCACTGTGTGTGTGTCACTGTGTGTGTGTGTCACTGTGTGTGTCACTGTGTGTGTGTCACTGTGTGTGTGTGTCACTGTGTGTGTGTGTGTGTCACTGTGTGTGCACGTGCGTGTCACTGTGTGTGGGGAGCGGTGGTGTAGAGGTTAGCGCGCTGTACTACGAACTCGACGACTCGAGTTCGAATCCCGCTCGCGGCCAACGCTAGTGACAGTTTTCTGAACTGGGCCTCTCCTATGTCAACTCAGCCTCAAATAAGTACCAGGGTGTGGTGTGTGAATATCGACACTGGGGAGACAAAGGCGGCTGGGCGCGGTGTTGGCCGTGCCGGTCATCATAGGTGCTCGCTAACAGCACTTGCTCCAACAGCCTGTGAAGGCTACACGGGGGATCTTTGTCTTTGGAAAGCCGTAGTGTGACGGTGAACGCGCTGCACTACGAACCCGGCGGAGAGCCGAGATCGATTCCCACTCACAGCCAACACCAACACCAGTGACGATTATCTGAACGGGTTCTGGGCTTCCTCCTCTAGATCAACTCGGCCATAAAAACGAATACCTGGTGCGGTGTGTGGTAAACGTCGCCACTGGGTGATACAAAGGCGGCCGAGCATAGCACGGTGCTGCCCCCCCCCCCCACCTCGCGTGCCTTATCATCCTCCACGGGTGCCGCTACCTAAAGGCAAACTTGATTTGAAGCTAAGGGCACTTGCCCCCAACGGTCCGTTGAAGGCTATGCGGGGGATCTTTGTCTTTGCCACGTCTTGTGGCTGGGCCCTCCCCCACCCCCGACCTCCGCCTGCTGGAACGCGCTCGCGGGGGCACTCCGCTCGCTGCTCCGCGGCTCGCCATGAAATTGGAATCGATTTTTATTCCCGCCGTTTCGCAGGCGGCCGATGGCCGTCTACGAGACGATGATGGCCCCCCCCGGGCCTCTCCCCTTCCTCCCCTGCCCCCCTGCTCCCCTGCCCTCCCCCGCGTGTGCCACCCTCGGCTGCCCGACGAGCCGGCCGCGCCAAACAGGCGCACCACGGGAACCGCAACCAGACCCCCCGAAAAGTCGGCGCGGGAACACAACATTCGCGCTGGCCCGGAGTTTGGTCTTGCGAGCCGCGAATGATGAATGCGTGAATGCTGGGGAGGAGGGGTGGGGGGGGGGCATGGGGGGGTGGGGGTGGGGAGGGAGCGTGGTGGGGGTGGGGGGCCATGCGAGGGAGATGCGGGCTCAGCTTGAAGGCCCTCCGGGCGAGCGAGTGGTGCCGGAGCCGCAGACGCAATCAGCGGGGATGCTGGAAGTGAGATGCGGGAAGCAGCGGTTGACCACCGCGGCCGCTTCAAAGGGAAGTGGATTTTGTTTGTGTAGTGATTTTGTTTATCCACCTGTCTGTCCGTCCGTCTGTCCGTCTGTCCATCTGTCCATTAGTCCATTCGTCTGTCCGTCTGTCTGTAACACAGAGGGGGGGGGGTCTCATAACGATGAACGAACCCTTCCGCGGTAATGATGATGATGACCGTGACGACGATGATTACAACAATGATGGCGATCACGATAGTCATGCTGATGATGCTGGCATCAACGAGGTCGGTGATGCTGATGGCGACGACGACGATGAATTTCACCAATGACCCCGGCGATGGTGATAATGATGACGACGACGACGACGATGAATTTCACCAATGACCCCGGTGGCGGCGATGACGACGACGATGATGATGATGATGATGACGTCACCGCCGTTGCCCTCCCAGCTGCCCCCACGGGACGAGACGACGCCGGACGAGGCCCGGGCCTGCCCCTACGAGCTGCTTGCCCTGACGAGCGATTCGGAGCGACAGCGCGCCAGCGCCGCCGCCACGGGAGGGGGGGCCGCCGCCGTGTCGGGGGGGGCGGGGGGGGGCCTGGCGGGAGTGTGGGGGGGCGGCGGAGGGGGGGTCCCGTCGTCCCCGTCGCTCACGCTGTCGGCACGGGGGTCGCAGAGTTCGGCGTTCGCCACCCCCACGGAGGATGAGGACGACGGAGGTGAGGGGCGGGGCGTGGGGAGGGCGAAAGTGGGCGAGAGTTGGTGAGAGTGGGTGGGTGGGAGTGGGTGAGAGTGGGTGGGAGTGGGTGAGAGTGGGTGGGTGGGAGTGGGTGAGAGTGGGTGGGTGGGAGTGGGTGAGAGTTGGTGAGAGTTGGTGAGTGTGGGAGTGGGTGAGAGTGAGAGTGAGTGAGAGTGGATGAGTGGGTGAGAGTGAGAGTGAGTGAGAGTGGGTGAGTGGGTGAGAGTGACAGTGAGTGAGCGTTGGTGAGGGTTGGTGAGTGTGGGAGTGGGTGAGTGTGGGTGGGTGAGTGAGAGTCAGTGTGGGTGAGAGTGAGTAAGAGTGGGTGAGAGTGAGAGTGGGTGAGTGTGGGTGAGTGCGTGAGAGTGAGTGTGGGTGAGAGTGAGTTAGAGTGGGTGAGAGTGAGAGTGGGTGAGAGTGAGAGTGGGTGAGTGTGGGTGAGTGAGAGTGGGTGAGGGTGGGTGAGTGTGGGTGAGTGTGGGTGAGAGTGGCAGCAGTGGCGGAGTGGTGAGTGTGCACACTGCGCTATGAATACAACGACTAGAGTTCGATTCCCACTCATGTCCAGCACGGGTGGAGAATCTCTGAGCCACTGCCTGGGCCTCCCCTAGATCGACTTAAACTTAAATGAGTACCTCGTACACACTTGTCTACCTTATTACAGACCAATTCAGACCCTATTGGTCACCCCGTGCCCTTATAAATCTTAAGGTTCATCCTACAAAGGGAGAAACACCACAAACAGACGAACCATTGTTGTTGCCCCGCATTGAAACGGCTGTGCGCCGTATGGACCCGAAAACTACATTTCCCCGTACAAGAATACGGGGTAAACCGTACCGCTCGACAACTCTGCTAGCGCGGTGTATAAAAACCATCATCGCCGGGGAGAGAAAGGCGGCCGGGCGTGGTGCTGGCCTCCCAGCCCGTCGTGTTCGCCGTGCCGGCCTTCGCAGGCGTGGCTACTCGCTTCGCAGTGCTTGCCCCGGCAGTCTGTTAAAGGCCGCGTGGGGTAGCCTCTGGCTTTGGCACAGCGGGCAGCACACAATGGGACTGTGTTGTGACTCCCGCCCGTCCGCCAGCAGCAGTTTCGCTTTCGGCCTCGACGTGCAACCTAGCCTGGCACACGCGGTGGCGGCGACGTGGTGGCGACGTCAAAGGCAAAGATCCCCCGCATAGCCTAAACAGACTGTTGGGGCAAGTGCTGTTGGCGAGCGGCACACGAGGGGGCGGGTGGCCAGCACCACACCCGGCCGCCTTTGTCTTCCCGCCGGTGATGTTTACACACAGTGTACCAGGTACTCGTATGAGGCTGGAGTCCACCTAGCGGAGTCCCCAGAGCCGGTTCGTGGTTGGCCGTGAGCGGGAATCGAACTCGGCTCGCCGGGTTCACGGCGCAGCGCGAACTGCTACGCCACCGCACCCACGTTCCGTTGACGCCTGGCGACGTCACGTGACCTGCGTGTCGTCATCGTCGTCGTCGTCGCCGTCGTCGTCGAAGCGAGTCACGCGTACCGGTGCCGGCTTCGTGGCCCCGCCACCGTCCCACCCGAGACCCCCAAACAAAATCCGCGGCCTCCGAGGACCGAACCCAACCCCCACCCCCCCCCCCCCCCCCCCCCCCAGCTCACCGCTACGACGGCAACGATCCTGGACCCCCACGGGCTCCCCCCGCCCCGCTAAAGATTAAACGCGCGCCGCTCCGATCGTTCGACCGGCGGCACCGAGCGAGCGACCGCCCGGTGAGCGATGCGCCGGTGTCGCCGCTAATTGAACCACGCGGCGGTGTGCGTGGGCGTGATGGGGATGGCGGGGGGGGGGGGGGGGTGATGGGGGGGAGAGTCGGGGGCGGTGGGTAATTACCCGCGAGTGCCGCACCCCCCGGCGGAGGGTCGTGGTTGGCGTTGATTTCTCGCTCCGAGGCCGCCAACGCTGCCGCAGTGCCGGGGGTTTGGCGCGAGAACGGCTTTTGTATTTTCCGCAAGAGAGGTTTTGTTTTCGGGTCGCGTGTTGGGGAGCAAAGTCCACGGCATTTACGACCAGAGTACGACGTTTCGCCAGTAATCGATGAAGCTGGGCTAATTTGCCGGCGTTACGTCGTGTTCAGATTGTAAATGTTGTGGCTTGGCTCCCCAATACACGACCGGTGTGCTGTGCTAGTGACGAATTGGCACGTTCCGTTTACGTGACAAACATTACTAGTTGGCTGTGTGGGGTGGTGGCGGGTTTAACGACACATTTATACATTTACGCGATGTAACCCCCAAAAAAAACCTCTATTGTGGTTGAGATTGGTCGTGAAAGCCTCCTCTTAAAGTGGTTTTGTATTTAGGCTCACATAGATGCCCAAAGACGTACACAGATACCCATAAACTCACATAGAGACCCATTGACTTACACAGAGACCCATTGGCTTACATAGAGGCCCATAGGCTTACACAGATACCCATAGACTCACATAGAGACCCATTGACTTACATAGAGACCCACTGACTTACATAGAGACCCATATAATTACACAGAGATCCATCGACTCACGCATAGAGATCCATAGACTTACACGTCGAGACCCATAGACTTACACACAGAGATCCATAGACTTATCATACTCATATAGTCTGGGTTGTGATCAAACCGGGTTCTCAAGTGCAGTGAGTTGATGGCCTCAGCCCAGTCACCGGCGACCCCAACGTGTGTGTCATGTTCGGTGTGTGCCGGTGCGCCGAACACGGCACACCACGTCCAGTATCCCCCCCCCTCTGTAGCCGCGGCCGTAGCCGGTCACGTGGACGGCTGTGCCGCTCCACCAAGCGACCCCCCCCCCCCGTGGAACGTTCAGAAATTAATGACGACGGTGACGTGTGCCGGCAGGCGTGCCGCACGCACTCGCCTGGGACCGCTGAGCTAATTGGGTAGCAATGGTGGGGGGAGGGCGGGGGGTGGGGTGTTGGGGGTGGGTGATTAGTAGGTGTTGAGGGCGGGGGGGGAGTCGGTGGGGTAGTGATCGGACTGTTCGTGTTCGAACACGGTGACCGTGAGTTTTGAGGAAGCCATTGGGGGTGCGATGATAGTGACCTGGGCACCACGGCCAGTTCCAACACTCGCCCTGTCCTCACTCACCCTCGCTCACCCTGACCACACTCACCCTGACCACACTCACCCTGAGCCCACTCACCCTCGCTCACCCTTGCTCACCCGCACTCACCCTGACCACGCTCACCCTCACTCACCCTCACTCACCCTGACCACACTCACCCTGACCTCACTCACCCTCGCTCACCCTGATCACACTCACCCTGACCGCGCTCACCCTGAACACGCTCACCCTCACTCACCCTCGCTCACGCGCTCTCAAGCCGCTCGCCATTCTGACCCTCGAGGGCCCTCGTAGAGGATCCCGAGCGCGCCTGAGATCGAGCTCCCAGTGGGCGTTAGCTGGCAAAATAAAAAATAAAGTTTTAGTTTAGTTTCGCTCGCCGACCGCGTCCGTGGCGCTCGGCACGCGACCCTGCCGAGCGGCGCCGTTCACGGTTGGAGTCCGTGCCGGGACGCTTCTGAAGGTGGTTGGGATCCGGTGGTGGGGCCGGGTGGCTCGGGGGTCGGAGGCGCCGAGAGCCTCGGGGTTCTACTCCGGGTTGCAGCCCCAACCACAGCGGTGACACTGGGGTTTCGGGTGTGGTGAGTTGGCAGTCTCAGCTGATGAATTGCATCGACACCCATAGACTCACATCGAGACCCATAGACTTACATCGAGACCCATAGACTCACATCGACACCCATAGACTCACATCGACACCCATAGACTCACATCGACACCCATAGACTCACATCGACACCCATAGACTCACATCGAGACCCATACACTCACACAGAGACCCGTAGACTCACACCGAGACCCATAGACTCGCATAGAGATGCGCGGACTCACAAAGAGCCGCCCGGCGTATCGGCTTTTAAAACCGCGTGACTGGCCTGCGCTGGCGAGAGGCGGCCTCCCTCCGGATCTGGCGCTCACCTGCTCCTCTCCCTCCTCCATTGTCGTCCCACAGACAACGACGAGCCCCTGCTGAGTGGCTCGGGCGACGTGTCCCGTGAGTGCGCGCAGAAGCTACTCGAGGCCTGGTCCGACCTGCTCGCCAAGTGGTACGCGCACGGGCACGAACGCGCGGGCACGAACGCACGGGCACGAACGCACGGGCACGAACGCGCGGGCACGAACGCACGGGCACGAACGCACGGGCACGAACGCGCGCGGACACGCGTGCACGCGGTCGCCCGCTCGGACGCGGCGTTGTAGCAACGAACGGCGTTCCCGAGCGGGAGAGGGACGGCGTCGCGGCGTCTGGCGAGCACTCGGCCGCGTTGGACCATCGGCCCCCGATGAGACACGGTGGGACGCGAGGCCGCCGCCCCGGGCCAGGGATCGAACTCTCCGCTTCCACCACCCCCCCCGCCCCCCCCCCCCGCCGCTCGCTCCCCCCCCCCGACCGCCCGCCACCCGCCAATCAATCTCTCGCGGGTGGCGAGAGCGACGATTTGTGACGCCGCGTCAGACCGAGTTAGCCGGCATCGCCGTCGCTCGATTTTGGCGGTCCCCGGTAGGTCGCCGGTGCGTCTGGCAGAGGTCGGGGGTCGGGGCGCGAGGGTTTAAACGGCGCTCGCTAAGTGCTCCGGCGTCGGGGTTGAAGGTTCACAGGTGGCTACGCGGGGCGGGGGGCGGGGGGGGGGGCGGGCGACTGTGCGAAATTTTGCTGCGCGGCCGCGTCCCAACAAATCCTCGGCGGCCGCGCTCGATCCGCTGCTGGATGAACGCCTCTCTTCCCAGGCCGCAGCGTCAGCCAGGGCCGTTCGCAGTGCGGGGGGGGGGGGGGGGGGGGAGGGGGGTGTGGGGCCCCCCCCAACGCCTTCAAACCAAACCCGGCGACCCGAGTCTGATTCCTGCTCGCGACCAACACCGGTGACGGTTGTCTGAATCGTTCATGCGCCTCCCCGAGGTCGACTCGGCCTCAAATGAGCACCAGGCGTGGTGCTAACAACGCTTGCTCCCGTGTAGCCTGTTCAAGGCTACACGGGGATCATTACTTTGTGATTGTGTGTGTGCGCGTGCACGCGTGTGCACGCCGGCAGCACTTGCCCCAACAGCCTGTCAAAGGCTACACGGGGCACCTTTGCCTTTGTGTGTGCGCGTGTGCCGCTGCCGGCGCGCGCTAGCGGAGCGGACGGTGCGCGGCACGCGTGCCCCGACGCGAGTGGAATATCTCTCCGTGTCACCGTCATCGATTCTGAATTGACTCGTCGCCTCGGGGGTGGCGGGGGTGGTGGCGCACGGAGTCTCGGGGGGCGGGGGCGGGGGGTGGTGCGTGGGGCGGTGGGGCGGCCGCCGCGGCCGTGTCGGTGAGCAATGAGCCCGATCCGCCGACGTCCTGAGCTTCAAATCCAAAGGGATCATCGCGGACTTCATTTATAACCGGGACGACGCGGCCCGCCGAGACCGCTCCGTCATCCCTCCCTCGGTCTCGTGAGTGGACGGCTCGAAGTGCCCTGGCCGATCGTCTGCCTCTCGTGAACCGCGCTGGTTCGACGTCTGGAGCGTCAAACGGCGAATTGATAATGGCATCAACAGCAGCGAACGGCGATCTCGGTCTCCGGGCGTCGCCCACAGATGTCGGTGTTTCCTTTGTATTTGCGCTCGCCATTCGGATTGCGTTGGTCAGCGATGCAAAAAGCTCACACAGAGATCCACAGGCTCAAGCGTAGAGACCCATGGACTTACGCAGAGATCCATAGACTCGCACATAGACATCCATAGACTTACACAGAGCTCTGTGGACTCACGCATAGAGAGCCATAGACTCATACATAACGTTCCATTGACTTACGCATAAAGATCCATAGACTTACGCATAAAGATCCATAGACTCACGCATAGAGATCCATAGATTCACCCATAGAGATCCATAGACTCACGCATAGAGATCTATAGACTTACACAGAGATCCATAGACTCACTCTGAGAGATCCATCGACTTACACACAGCACTTGCTCCTGCAGTCTGTTAAGGCTACAACGGGGGGATCTTTTTTCTGTGGTCCATAGTTTGGTTTGCATGACCACAATCGCACTTCTGTGGCTGGTGCCTTTTATAGTTCCATACACGCAGGAGACGCACGCACCATCGGCCTGCTGGTGACGTTCTGATTGCGGGTGACGGTTCCATCGCCGGTGTCTCCGAGGCGGGGAGGAATGTGAAATCCAGGAGTTGTGCCACATCCAGCTCCCGAATGAGGAGCCGTTCATAGCGAATCAGAATAATGTATTTGTGCCGGAGGAATCCAATGAGCCGCAAAGTTCTTTCTTTCAAAGATGTTATTCCGAAAGACGGCTTCGTGCCACTCCGTTTGTCGGCGTTGCCGCGTGTCCCGGGCGGAGCGAATTCGACGACGTGGCGACGAGCGGCGGCGGCGTCGGTCCCAGAGGGGGGAGGGGGGGGGGGGCACGGGATCATTGGGACTTGGTGTCTGTGGCGGCGATGAACGTGGTCGTTATAAATCATCGTAATGAAGCCGCTGATGCACGAATCAAAACAGAACCCGCCACCGACGCGCGGGAGCTCGCCCGCCCGCCCCCGCGGGCGTCTCGGACGGAGCAAAGCGTCCGTCGGGTGAATTCGTCTCGGAGGTGAACGTTATCGGTACATATGAGCGTGAGGAGGAGCGGCGCGTGCACACCCACGCACGCACGCACGGGGATCATCCTCCTCGGGGGGGAGCTCCCGACAGATGTCGCGTCTTGTTTAACCGCGGGTGTGTGATCAATAACGAGCCTCTCGCCAATTAATAATTCATCTCGACGCGCGCCCCGATCGCTCGCGACGTCGAGCCGGGCACGTAGAGACGCGCGTGGGGGGGGGGGGGGCGGGGGGTGGCCTGCGTGCCCCCCCCCCCCAACCCGCTTCGATCGCACGGGGGCGGCTACATGGTCTGAGGAGGTCAGCGGGGGGGGGGGGGGGGCAGGGGGCGGGGGGTGGTGACGTGGCCCCGGACGGAAGTGCGTTGTCCACCTGTTGCGCAGGTTTCTTACCTTGTTTTATATTTCTGTGTAGAGAGAGAGAGAGCATCTGAGCTCAAGGCGCTCTGCGGCAGAGTTTCATCGCGGTTAAACAATAACGGAGTTGCTTTAGATGGCAGGGGCAACGCAAGGGCCGAGGAATGCGCGGCCGCAGCAGGGGGCACGGGGAGGGGGGGTCACGAGGGGGCCACAGGGGAGGGACGGGGCGGAGTGGAGGGGCGAGTGGAGGGGCGAGGAGAGGGAAGAGGAAGGGGGGAGAAGAGGTGAGGATTTAGGAGAGGAACAGAAAGAGGTTAAGGAGGGGGACTGCTTTTAATGTACTGGGGTATTGCTGAGTCTATGGGCAGTGCTGAGTCTATGGGCAGTGCTGAGTCTATGGACAGTGTTGAGTCTGTGGACAGTGCTGAGTCTATGGTGCAGTGCTGAGTCTATGGTGCAGTACTGAGTCTATGGGCAGTGCTGAGTCTATGGGCAGTGCTGAGTCTATGGGCAGTGCTGAGTCTATGGTGCAGTGCTGAGTCTATGGGCAGTGCTGAGTCTATGGTGCAGTGCTGAGTCTATGGGCAGTGTTGAGTCTATGGGCAGTGCTGAGTCTATGGGCAGTGCTGAGTCTATGGTGCAGTGCTGAGTCTATGGACAGTGCTGAGTCTATGGGCAGTGCTGAGTCTATGGGCAGTGCTGAGTCTATGGGCAATGTTGAGTCTATGGTGCAATGTTGAGTCTATGGTGCAGTCCTGAGTCTATGCGCAGTGCTGAGTCTATGGGCAGTGCTGAGTCTATGGTGCAGTGCTGAGTCTATGAGAAGTGTTGAATCTATGGTGCAGTGTTGAGTCTATGGTGCAATGTTAAGTCTATGGGCAGTGCTGAGCCTATGGACAGTGCTGAGTCTATGGGCAGTGCTGAGTCTATGGGCAGTGTTGAGTCTATGGACAGTGCTGAGTCTATGGACAGTGCTGAGTCTATGGTGCAGTGCTGAGTCTATGGTGCAGTACTGAGTCTATGGGCAGTGCTGAGTCTATGGGCAGTGCTGAGTCTATGGGCAGTGCTGAGTCTATGGTGCAGTGCTGAGTCTATGGGCAGTGCTGAGTCTATGGTGCAGTGCTGAGTCTATGGGCAGTGTTGAGTCTATGGGCAGTGCTGAGTCTATGGGCAGTGCTGAGTCTATGGTGCAGTGCTGAGTCTATGGACAGTGCTGAGTCTATGGGCAGTGCTGAGTCTATGGGCAGTGCTGAGTCTATGGGCAATGTTGAGTCTATGGTGCAATGTTGAGTCTATGGTGCAGTCCTGAGTCTATGCGCAGTGCTGAGTCTATGGGCAGTGCTGAGTCTATGGTGCAGTGCTGAGTCTATGGACAGTGCTGAGTCTATGGGCAGTGCTGAGTCTATGGGCAGTGCTGAGTCTATGGGCAGTGCTGAGTCTATGGGCAATGTTGAGTCTATGGTGCAATGTTGAGTCTATGGTGCAGTCCTGAGTCTATGGGCAGTGCTGAGTCTATGGGCAGTGCTGAGTCTATGGTGCAGTGCTGAGTCTATGAGAAGTGTTGAGTCTATGGACAGTGCTGAGTCTATGGACAGTGCTGAGTCTATGGTGCAGTGCTGAGTCTATGGTGCAGTACTGAGTCTATGGGCAGTGCTGAGTCTATGGGCAGTGCTGAGTCTATGGGCAGTGCTGAGTCTATGGTGCAGTGCTGAGTCTATGGGCAGTGCTGAGTCTATGGTGCAGTGCTGAGTCTATGGGCAGTGTTGAGTCTATGGGCAGTGCTGAGTCTATGGGCAGTGCTGAGTCTATGGTGCAGTGCTGAGTCTATGGACAGTGCTGAGTCTATGGGCAGTGCTGAGTCTATGGGCAGTGCTGAGTCTATGGGCAATGTTGAGTCTATGGTGCAATGTTGAGTCTATGGTGCAGTCCTGAGTCTATGCGCAGTGCTGAGTCTATGGGCAGTGCTGAGTCTATGGTGCAGTGCTGAGTCTATGAGAAGTGTTGAGTCTATGGTGCAGTGTTGAGTCTATGGTGCAATGTTAAGTCTATGGGCAGTGCTGAGCCTATGGACAGTGCTGAGTCTATGGGCAGTGCT